GTATATTGAAATTTCATTGGGTGCAACATGAAAAATTTTTCATATTGCTAAAAAGTGGATAATTGTAAATACTCGTGATATTTGTATGAAGATATACATATAATAGGGTTCTCTTCTCCTTGTATATTTCTCTATTTTTAAGAGAGTATCTATTTTTTGAAATTTATTTTTTATTTTTTACAATCTCAACTACTTACTAATGAGAAATTTTTCATGCTTCAATTAAGAAATTTTGATACGTATAATAATTGGAGATGGAGTCCAAGAATAGGTAAATAGTTTTTAATGAGCAATTTTTAATTATAATTATCAATACTATTAAGATGTAATCAATTGAAGTGTTTTATTTCTTTTAATTAATGCCACATTAAAATGCAACAATTCTAATTAAAAGGCATAAGGATAATTTAGAGATAACAAAAACTAAGATAAAAAAGTATTTACACTTACACTCCCTAATATTAAGATTCATACTTTGTATACAATAATGATTCATACTTTTTAGACAGTAATGACACATTTGTTATAGACTATCAGTAGCACATGTAGTGGCAATATTAGTAAATTCAGGGTGAGTGGCGTTGAAGTTGAACTATTGGCTCCGTTTGGATTAGCTGTTTTTGGGGTTATTTTTCAAAAACAGCACCGTAGCATTTCGTTTTTGAAATACAAGTCTGTTTGGATTAGTTGTTTTTGGGGTTGTTTTTCAAAAACTATATGAAAAACTTTTACTATAAATGTTTTTTGAATTATTTTTAGAGGTATTTTTAAAACATATTTTTGGATATTTTTATAATTTATAATTTATAATTTTTATTTTTATATACATTTATGCATTTATAATACATTTATAAATATTAATAAATAAATATATTTATATATTCGCTAAAAAATATATAAATGTATTATATTATATATAATACATAATATAAATATATTTATAAATGTATAAGTGTATATTATTGTAAATGTATAAATTATAAATGAATATTATATAAATTTATAAATTATAAATTATAATTTTTATATTTTTATATTTTTATATAAATATACATTTATGCATTTATAATACATTTATAAATATTTATGAATAAATATATTTATGTATTTATATAAGAATATATAAATGTATTATAATATATATAATACATGATATAAATATATTTATAAATGTATAAGTGTATATTATTATAAATGTATAAATTACAAATGAATATTATACAAATTTATAAATTATAATTTTATTAATATATATTAATATTATGTATAAATGTATTAATATAATTAATATAAATGTACAAATGTATTAACATTATGTGTAAATGTAAAATAATATTATGTATATTAATATAAATGTATAAAATATATATAATACATAATATAAATGTATATTATAAATACACATTAATATATATTATGTATAAATGTACATTTATATAAATGTATAATATATATATAATATATATTACATATTATAATATATATTACATATTATATTATATATAATATATATAATATATAATATTCATATAAATATATTATAAATATATAAAAATATTTTTTAATAAAATAACATATTTATAATATGTATAAATAAATATATAAATATTTAATATATATATAATATACAATAATATTAATTATAAATATTATAATATTATACATATGGTGTTTATATAATATTTCAATTTGTAATATTTATTGTATATTTCATTATATAAATATTTATATAATATATAATTTTTAATTTGTATAATATACATAATATTGTATATATATAATATAATATAATAATATAATATAATATACATAATATACATTATTACATTATTACACATTTATGTATATTATATATTATATATAACATTATTATACACAATAATATACATAATAATATTATACATTAATAATATATATTATAATATAATGTACATAATATTATGTATAAATATTTGCACATTTATGTATACAATATTACATATTATGTATATTATATTATATTATGTATAATATACAATATTATGTATAATATTAATGTATATAAATATTTATATAATAAAATATATATATATAATTTTCAATTTGTATATTTCAATTTATATTAATATAATATATATATAATATACATAATTAAAATATACAAATTGAAATATACATATGTAGTTGTTTTTGATATAATGTTTGGATATGGTGTTTTTGGAAGTGTTTTGGAAAAACACATTTACTGTAGCATTTGGAATGTGAAAAACAGTTTTTCAAAAACAGGCTCAAAAACAAGGGATCCAAACAAAATTATACGAATTGAACTGTTGGATTCAGGCAATTAAACATATTTTCACCCATGGGCATCTATGAGGGGAGTGGGGTAGGGTGAGGGAACATAGAAAAGCTGTCTTGCTGCCATTTCTAGGGTCTTTTGGTGCTATGTTACACATTTTAATGTGTTGATACGCATCTTTTTTAAACTATCACAATAACACTCTTAATTAAATTTAACTCTTGAGTTACCTTTCTTTTTTTAATATATAAAAAGCGCAAAGATTTCATTAATTGAAGCAGACTGCCATTAAGGCAGGATACAAAAAATGAGAAGGAAAATTCCAATTAGAATTTCCTACCAATCTAGCTTGTTTTATTAAAAACATGATTTGATTGATTACAAGTTCTATGTATCAACAGCAATTTCAATTCTTGAAATTGATTCATCAGTAATCAGATTACACTAGCAGAAGAAAGGTCCTTGGAATCAGATTATACTCAGATAATACTGCTTGAATAATTGAGCTACAATCACCTTCAAGAAGTACTCGAGAACTCCTAATACCAGCAACAAATGAAAAGGCTTCTTTACATGCAAGTGCCTTCGCGATAACTGGACAGCTATAACCAGGAATCAACTAGAAGAACCCACAAGAAATACACCCAAGTGATCGTGAATGACAACATCCAAACCTACAGCATTCAACTCTTTGAAAACTGCTCCATCAAAATTAACTTTGATGAAGCCCTATGAAGGAGGTTGCCAGTGTGCTAGAAAACTACGAGTATGGGATCCTTGAGTTATTAACCTAATCAGTCATAGCTAAAAGGAAACATCGTTTCTCCTCCTCTCATCCAAAAATACATCTCCTACCAAGTTAAATTTCAATAACTTTCAATAATTTCTACTATTTTAATTTTTAATATATATATTTTTTATTTTTTAAAATTAGACTTGTAATTATCACTACTTTTCAAATTCTGGGTTCAAGTTCTTAAGACATACCATGTTGGACTTGATATGCCTTCGAATCTCTTCACATATCAAGTTCTTAAGAACAGCATAAAGGAAGGCAATGGCTTTCTATTGAGAATAGCAGTCCGAGTGGAGTCAAACTCGTCAAGTAAGGCCATAAGAAACAAAATAACGCAATGAGAATCACGGTAGGTATAGAATTTTTTTGCTTTATTGGGGTAGTTCCAGCAGGGTTCTGATTCAGCAATCTCATCCCAAAAACAGACCATGTCGAAGTAGATATCCTAAACAGATTGACCAAACTGTTGTTTCATGGCTTGCAATCGAAGGAAAAGTTGGTACTATCGAGAGAGATCGATAGCAGTGTAACGATCAGTTAAGAAGTCCCAAACTACCTTTGCAATATCAAATCGCTGAAAAAGGCGATTAATGGCAGGCACAGAGGTATTGGTAAGTCAAGTGATAATTTTATGATTATCACTGTCCCATTCTTTGAAACGAGTGTTAAATTTTTTAGAAGATTCTCCTTCAACAGCAACAAGGATAGTGATATCACCAGTGATATATTTCCAAAGTTTACGATCACGGAGAAAATATAAATAGGTTGAGAAACATCATCTTGAGCCATTGGAGATGACAAATAACCAAAAATATACACAAAGGAGTGGACAAATAACAGTATAGTACTGATGAACTAGATAAAGCGAACTAGATTTGGTCAAATGACGATGACGTCAACAGATACAATTTGCAAGGTGTGGACCTGAGCAATACACGAACCGGAGCAAAAGAGTATTGATGTACAAGAACTAGAGATGCAATTAAACATCCAAGGACTAAATTGGCTTGTGGACCAGATTATCACAAGCACTATACTGATTAGAGAACTAAATTGACTTCAAAAGCAAAACATGAACATGCTTGGCATATGATAGAGATTGACAGACTGTGCATGCAAGATTGAAAAACCGACTAGAAATTGACTAATTGAAACACCAACAGAAATTTTTTTTTTTTTTTGAGGGAATGAGAAACGAAGAACTATGGAGAGTTTAAGCAAAAGACTCTTGATATCATGTTGGAAGAAATATTTGGGAGAGAAAAGTTTCCATAATTTCTACAACAATATAGTGCCTATCTATATAGGCATACAGAAAAGTTTGTTTTCCAATTTCGTGGACAATATTCAATGAGATTGTTACATAGCCATATTGCGGCTTTGACCTGGGGTGGCTCCCATGAATATTAACTGATATGTGTGATACCTAAGCTTTTGGAAGCTTAGTATGTCAGAACTATTGTACAAGTTATCTCTGTACCAGTTTTGGCTTTTTTTCTACCTTATATCTACTGGTGGATGCTGCACTTTTTGTTATCTAAAAGGATTTTTTCCTTATATTTCGTTTTGGTGATTGTATGCATTGATCTTCACAAATGTTAGATATTTTAAAAGAGTTTCTTGGTAAAAATTCTTAGGTCCACTAAAGCACCAAAAACAAAGCTACTTGAAAAGCACTTGTTTATTGCTTATTTAAGTTAAAAATTTCTAATTTTCTACTATTCAAATAAAAAAAATAAGTTAAAACCCAACAAGGTGTTATGGTAAGTTTAGCCAAATCATTACCTTCATTTCTGCATTCCGGGCACTACAGAACATAACACTTTCAGTTTTTCTACATGATGTTTGAGAAGCCTCCATCAATGCTAGTGCAAATTAATGAGCAAAATAACTATAATTGATGACCATCTTCATCTGCGAAACTTGCCTGCCGAGTGACAGTAATTTCTTCCTTTTGACATTCTCACAAAAACGACAGGGAACCATGTTGTTCTTTTTCCAACGAGATGATGTCTGCTTCCTAAATAGATTCAGGAAAAAAACACCACCATGTTAGCCACGTTGAACCATCAATACTTATGAAGAATGTATTACAAAAATTTCTAAAGAGCAAATATTAAGCAGAATTACATCGATTCAGCCATAAAAAACGCATACTAAATTCAGAGCATAGCTTTTGTATGTGATTCATTTGAAGTTAAGGCAACAGCAACAGAAACATTGTAGGCCTTCAAATTTAATTCATTGAGACTACATACCTCTTCGTCTACTCTGTCACATATTGCTTCCTAGAAGATTGATCTTCACTCCTTAAGAGAACAATTGTCTACCACATCACCATCCATTACATTTTTGCTTGGAAGCCACTGCTTCCTACATGTTACAACATAACCCATAAGACATTTCTTGAAAATGCTCAAATGGATATTTCTATAAATATTTTACCATGAGCCAAAAAAGTCCTCATGCAAGTTGGAATGGAAAAATCACCCGTCTACTAGACAACCAAAAATGAAGGGCTAAAAAACAGAGCATTAACAAACCCAGAAGGAAGTAATGGTAGCAAAAGTCAATCGAATTTGCATAAATTGTCCTTGTGATTCTTTCTGAAAATAAAGTGATTATCAAAGCTAAATGTTTAACTAAATGTTAAAGGAAGAGTAAGATGATAATCTTTCGTCTCTTTCTAAAATGACGTTCTAAACTAGAGTTTGGCAAACTAATCTGAAGAACAAAAATGCAAAATTTATATTCATGTACTAGCATTCATAAATTCTCTTATTAACTTCTTTTAGCTTGACTGATTTCTCCTGACAGACTAAAATCTTTGGGACAAAAAAAAATCAGAAAAGGATAACCGTTTTCAGAAAGAAATGGGTAATGGATGTCAATAGCTTTTCAGTGTTGGGAAGTTGTTTCCTTCTTCCTTGAATTCTTAAGAGTAATTTATCAACTTCCATTGAATGGGCATGCTGAAACATGCTCATTTAACCTAACAAGCAGATACTTTATGGTAGAGTACCTCTAATTAGGTGAAACCATGTTGGAGAACTTCACGTGAAACATTTATCATTGATCTCCCACGTTCATTAGTCTTCTGAAATGTTACATATTCCAAGTGGTTTCTTAATAATTATAAATTATTTTTAGATTTGCTAGTCTTTCTTGGCTAAAACATAACAGATAGAATGCTACAATAACAAAACCTGTTTGTTGATCATTCAAACTGCAATTTTTTGGATTGTGACTATTTATCTTGAAGTAGACATGTCAAAATAATTTAGTTAAGAACCAAGAGGTACTTAGGGTACGTTATTTTACTAAAACAAATTCAACACTGAGCCTGGTACCTGGAATGACTGACTGTCAGCACAGTTGTATCATGAGTCTCTCTTGTTCTTGAGTGGAAAGGTATGACCTGTTGTTCAATTTACAAAGGCCTTGCAAGATCTGGTGGGAACCTTTGAACGAGGATGTAGAAATTCTTGCAGCTGCAATTGCAGCACCAAAACTTTGAACTATTTCCATCCAAATGAACGACTGACACTGCAATCGCATGCTTCGTTTATGTCATCCAAACGATCACCAATGCTGTCTACAATGTCTAACTTCTTTCCATCAAATCTTGTCACCTCTGAAACTAAAGTATTAGCACGTCCAGTTTTCTTCAAGCAAGTCTTGTACCTTGATAGCTCTCCAGTACCATGCTCTTCTCTAATTCTTCTCAATCCATACTACTTTCTACAAGCCTGTCACAAGCCACTCTGTTTTCAGCATGCTACAAGGAGAAAAGGTTCAATATTTGATTTATTTTGTTAAATACTTCCAGAAAATAGATAAAAAACAAAAATGAAAAGCCATTGAAACAGGCCAATTGACATGCAGTCAACATTTTTAACCTTCATTTCCACATTCTGAGCAATATATGGCATTCTGGTGGGAAAAATCACAGATAACTACCTTCCATCTTCAAAACCTGACTGATAAGTGGAAATAACTCCTCCCTCCTGACATTCTCATAAGAACAACATGGGAACGTTGGTGTTCTTTGTCCAAAAAGCATGTACTCTACTTCCTAAACAAATTCTGGGAAAAAAAATAACAATATTACATCGCAGTTCTGCTTCAGTTATGACATTGTGTAGAAACATGAGCCACAGAAAGGTTTGGTCTGGTGACTAATGCAACAATTTATCACTCAAAATCCTAAAGAGCAGAAATTAAGCTAAATTCCATCGATTAAGCCACAAAGAACACTTACTAGTGCAGATACCACCCTACTTTTAAGCCACAAAGAACACTCACTGCTTGCTGCTTCACTGGCACTTGTGGCCTACAAGGCCATAATATTATCAATCCAATTCACAAAATAGAAAAGTAGCTAGTTATAGTATCTGAATTTTAAAAATTTTAAAAGATGATAAGAATTTAAAAAATTCCTCTGCAAACAATTTCAACTTAATCGACATTGAGCTAATTTTAAGGCAATCATAATTCAGAGTCTTACAGAGAGATAACAATGAATATTAAGAACATATCCACCCGTTAAATGCTAGCG